TGATTTGGTCCAATTTCAAAGTGGTGCGATTTGGTCCCATTTCAAAGTGGTGCGATTTGGTCCCATTTCAAAGTGGTGCGATTTGGTCCCATTTCAAAGGGGTGCGATTTGGTCCCATTTCAAAGTGGTGTGATTTGGTCCCATTTCACAGTGGTGCGATTTGGTCCCATTTCAAAGTGGTGCGATTTGGTCCCATTTCAAAGTGGTGCGATTTGGTCCCATTTCAAAGTGGTGCGATTTGGTCCCATTTCAAAGTGGTGCGATTTGACACAGGTGCGATTTCCCTGCCTTTTACCTCGTAGCCTAGGACAGTCCATTTGCACTGAAGTGGTGAAAAAGGCAGGGACTACTTTTCAAATTGAGCTAATTGAAATCGCATCGAATGCAGCTTCAGGTGCCGTTTGTAAATTGCATGCTGGGCTTAGTCAGAAGTCCTGCTTGATCACTGGCCCCTATTGCAGGCACGGCTATGTTAAAACATGAACGATAAGTGCCTCTAGTGTGTAAAATCCGGTAATACATTGTCTCACCCTGCTCTGCACATGCTCAGTTGCTCTGTGGTGAAAATGTAGAGGCCGATCTGTTGACAGCCTAAAGATTTACTGCTGCTCAGGGGCTCTGGGCTTTTGGTAGCAGAATTATTAATATGAATGTGGAATGTGTATTCCTTGGCAGCTTGGAAGAGTCGCCAAATTCTGATTTTATATATATATGTGCCTGCGTGGGTTTCCTCCGGGTTTCCTCCCACACACCCAGACATACTGGTAGGTTAATTGGATCCTGTCTAAGTTGGCCCTGGTATATGAATGTGAGTTAGGGACCTTAGATTGTACACCCCTTGAGGGTTAAGAATTGTTAAGTACTGATGTGAATGGACTATATATATATATAACATTTTTCATTTATTTATTTACTTTTAATTATTTAAGTATTTATTTCAGGTACTTTTATAGCGCCGTCAATTTACGCAGCACATTACACCCCTATATATATATGTAAAACGCTGGTTAATTGACGGCACTATATAAGTACCTGAAATAAATACTTAAATAATTAATAGTAAATAAATAAAATGTATAAATACAGTGAAGGAAATGTGTATTTGCCCCCTCTGATGCTGAATGTTCGCCCCTCACACAGAAATGATCGGTCTAACAATGGAATGTTCGCCCCTCACACAGAAATGATCGGTCTAACAATGGAATGTTCGGTGTAACACTGAGAGACAGAATACAACAACAAATTCAGCAGAAATGCGTCTAACAAATGATGACTGATCTGCATGTTCATGAGGGAAAGAAGGATTTGATCCCCTATCATTCAGCAGGATTTCTGGCTCCCAGGTGTCTCTCATACAGGTAACAAGCTGAGATTAGAAGCAGTCTCTTAAAGGGAGTGCTGCTAATCTCATTGTGTTACCTGTATAAAAGACACCTGTCCACAGGAGCCATCAAACCATCAGATTCCAAACTCTCCACCATGGCAAAGAGCAAAGAGCTGTCCAAGGATGTCAGGGACAAGATGGTAGACCTACACAAGGCTGGACTGGGCTACCAAACTATGGCCAAGCAGCTTGGTGAGAAGGTGACAACAGTTGGTGCAATCATTCACAAATGGAAGAAACACAAAACAAGTGTCATTCTCCCTAGGTCTGGTAAATATACAGTGCTTTGAAAAAGTCTTCCTCCCCCTGAAATGTTCCCCATGTTGTCATGTTACAATGTATCCCCCCCCCATGTTGTTACAATGTATTTCATTGGGATTGGATGTAATAGACTGACACAAAGTGGCACATAATTGTGAAGTGGAAGGAAAATGAGAAATGGTTTCCAACATTTGTGACCAATAAATCTGTGAAAAGTGTGGCGGCATTTCTATTCGGCCCCCCGGAGTCAATACTTTGTAGGACCCCCTTTGGCTGCAATTCCAGCTTCAAGTCTTTTTGGGGATGTCTCTTTGCACATCTAGAGAGGGACATTTCTGCCCGTTCTTCTTTGCAGAATCCCTCAAGCTCTGTCAGATTGGATGGAGAGCGTCTGGGAACAGCAATTTTTCAGGTCTGGCCACAGATTCTCCATTGGATTTGGGTCTGGACTGTGACTGGGCCATTCTAACACATGAAGATGCTTTGATCTGAAACATTCCATTGTAGCTCTGGCTGGATGTTTCGGGTCGTTGTCCTGCTGGAACAGGGGTGTAGATAAGGAGAGGAGAGTTGCCAACCATCCATGCAGGCTGAGCCCTCGACATTTCCACTCGCCCACGAATGGAAATAAGGTGAGGGCGTCGAGCAGCGGTGGTACTAGGGGCGGTGGTGGGGGCGGTGACAAGCAGCGATCTCCTGTATGGCTTTCAATGAAGCAGCTGAAAGCTGTGGGAGGAAGAGGAGAAGAAGCAACTTCCAGCTGCTTCATTGAAAGCCATACAGGAGATCGCTGCTTGTCACCCCGCCACCGCCCCTCCCACACTCCCCTAGTCCCAGCGCTGCTCACCGCCCCCATCGCTGCACAAAACGGTTCAGTTTTCTTTCTGGCCCCTCCCACCACCGCTGTGTTCTTCTTAGTGCCCAGACCCTCCCCTCATCCTCTGTACCAATAGGAGAAGAGGGGAGAGAATCTGGATCTGCTCTGCTTCCCCCTGGGCCCGCCCACACTCC